CAGAAGGGGGATCATTCGGAGCCTCAGTACTGGACAGAACCCTAGAAGGAGGAGGCATCAGAGGTTGATCATTTGGAGCTTCATTACGCGGTACAGCCCCAGAAGACGAAGGCAATAAATGCCTTTGGAATAAACCCACAAATCTCTGATGATCAAGTAAAACCTGACCATCAGATTCCTTCATCTGGTCAAGCTTCCTCTTCATGTTTGTAGCATAGTCATGTGCGAGCCGGTGCAACTGTTTATTCTCAAGCTTGAGCCCTCTAATTTCCTGTTTGAGACTCATCACTTCAGCCACCAATGATTCAACTTGGCGGGTTCGAGCAAATAGGCGTTGGGCCATATTAGACACAGAACCTGCACACTGAACACTGAGAGCCAGAGAATCCTTAACAGCCAACTCATCAGACCGTTTGGAAAGTAGTCTGTTATCTTTGGGAGTGAGAAGGTTCCTGGCCACTACCGCAGCGGTCATATCATTCTTCATCACGGAATCCCCAACGGTAAGAGGACCAGTAGGGGAGACGAAGGATGGACGCCATATGTTGTCTGGAGAAGGCGAGGCTGCCTCTTCAACAAGGTTCAAGTCAAAACGACGGTCGGAGGGGCCAGACATTTTCAAAGGTGTTGAAGAGAGAAGAGGTCGGACAAATCAAGATCTTAGAAGTGCAAGAATGGAGCTTTTACTGGTGGATATTCAAGTGTGCTTTGGAACTTAATGTCAGCCCCTATAAAAATCTGCACTCGACGAAGCTTCAGAAATCGAAGAGGCGCCTGCTCAGAAATCGAAGAGGCGTTTGCTTTCTCAAAAGCTGGGCTGCTCAGAGACCACGAGGGTCGATCTCAGAAATCGAAGAGGTGTTTGCTCTCTCAAAAGCTGGGCTGCTCAAAGACCACGAAGGCCGATCTCAGAAATCGAAGAGGCTTGCTTTCTCAAAAGCTGGGCTGCTCAGAGACCATGAGGGCCGATCTTAGAAATCGAAGAGGCACCTACTTTTCCAGCCTTGTCAGCACCTGTCACACGCACACTCAGCTTTATGGGCATTCTGTCGAAGATTTCTGGCGAAGTAGAAAGCACATGAATCGTACTGTTCAATCACCCACTTCCCACACGCAACAGTAGCTCATGGGTACCACAGATAACTTTGCCAAAGTTCTCTGACAAAGTTGAGAAACGTGAAGCTTGCAGCTCCCACTACATCGCTCTGACCAAGAAGGGTAAAAGAATAGCAAAGAAACAACACTAACAAAGTTTAGACACATAAATTTTGAAGGTCTAGCTACCATATTATTACCCACAAGGGTAAAGGAACAGTACCACTGCTGGATAATTGGAAAGTCCCGGTGTGTTAACCTCTGTGCTTCGTGGCAAGGTAGACTATCAAACATGCCCAACCTTTACTCACATTTGAGAAAACACTCCCAACAAGATTGCTTGCCCCAAAATCGAAGAGGCACCGCCCTCCGAATCTCGAGAGCCAGACTCCCAACATGATTACTTTCTCAAAAATCGAAGAGAGGGTAAAGGAACAGTACCACTGCTGGATAATTGGAAAGTCCATGTGTGTCAACCTCTGTGCTTCGTGGCAAGGTAGACTAGCAAACATGCCCAACCTTTACTCACATTCGAGAAAACACTCCCAACAAGATTGCTTGCTCCAAAATCGAAGAGGCATCGCCCTCCGAATCTCGAGAGCCAGACTCCCAACATGATTACTTTCTCAAAAATCGAAGAAAGGGTAAAGGAACAGTACCACTGCTGGATAATTGGAAAGTCCCTGTGTGTCAACCTCTGTGTTTCGTGGCAAGGTAGACTAGCAAACATGCCCAACCTTTACTCACATTCGAGAAAACACTCCCAACAAGATTGCTTGCTCCAAAATCGAAGAGGCACCGCCCTCTGAATCTCGAGAGCCAGACTCCCAACATGATTACTTTCTCAAAAATCGAAGAGACACCGCTCTCCGAATCTCGAGAGCCAGACCCCTAGTAAGATTGCTTTCTCAAAAATCGAAGAGGCATCGTTCTCCGAATCTTGAGAGCCAGATCCCCGACAGGATTGCTTGTTCGAAAACCGAAGAGGCACCACTTTCCCAACTTCAAGAGCTGGATCTCCTTGGATAAAGCTTGTCTGTAATCTTCACACACAACATCAGCTTTCCAGATACCACAGACCACTTTTTCAAAGTGCTCTGACAGAGTTAAAACATGTGAAGCTGGCAGCTCCCACTACCGTGCTATGACCAAACAGGGTAAAGGAATAGCATTATTACTTGATGTTAGGGAGACTCCTATATATGTCGACCTCCATCCCCAACGGACAGGCAGACCTGCAAAAATGCTCAACCCTTCATCTTATCTGAGAGGGCACTCCCAACGAAGCCTTTCGAAATATTCAGCTTTATTTCCCCCCGATAATACCTCTGTAAACAAGATATACTAGAGCAAGAATATCTCATATCATCAGGGTTAAAAGCAAGAGTATCCCATATCATGCGTTTTCCCTGTCTTTTTCTTTGACCTTGTTCTTACTTGCAAGACAAGGAGAATGAGAGCAATCAGTCAGCACTTGGAATCAAGCTTCCAGCCAGGAACTGACTGCCTGGAACCCCTTACCTGATTACTTACCTGGCATTGCTCTCGAGTACTCATCTTCAACATCTTATGCTTCCAGGGAAGATACCGCATCTGTCTGAGGAACAGATAGAGCAAGTGAGAAGGATACAAGGAAGCATGTGGAGACAAGCGTAACAGCACACGTGCCGATACGTCCACTACTCTGTCAAAAGCAAAAGTATCCCATATCAGCAGGGTCGAACGTACTCTAGATTTGATGGACTTGTTTTGACCCTCAAATTCTTCAATCGGCCTTATACTCTGGAGGAAACCAGAAAACCCTCCAGTCCAGTTCAAGAATAAGCATGTGGAAAGTTACTTCTTCAAAAGCAAAAGTATCCCATATCATCTCTTCTCATTTTTCTTCTCTTTATCCTTCATGTTGCCTGCAAGATAGGGAGAATGTGAACAATCAGCCGGAGCTCTGATTGCTTACCTTGTCTGTCACCTCTTTCAGCAGATCCCCTAACTCGGCGACTTGGAGGACTCCTACTACATGGTTTGTATCGCGCTTGACCAAGCCTGAAACTACAAGTAAGCTTCAAGTGAAATTGATACATTACCTTGTGCATCTCCACCAGTTACAGATACCACCCCTGGATGGAGGAAGAGTACTTCCAGAGAAGATGCCACATCTACCTATGAGACAGATAAGGCAAGTCAAGACGATACCACACTCCGGTACTTAGAAGTTTCGTGGTTACGAGATCATTCTCCCACAATATTTCCTAATGTCATTGTACTAAATCATTCACTTGTACTCACTAAAGGAGAGCTTGAACCTATGTATTTGTGTAAACCCTTCACAATTAATGAGAACTCCTCTATTCCGTGGACGTAGCCAATCTGGGTGAACCACGTACATCTTGTGTTTGCTTTCCTATCTCTATCCATTTATATACTTATCCACACTAATGACCGGAGCAATCTAGCGAAGATCACAAAAAGTGACCGTTTTCGCTACCTAGGATCTATCTTGCAAGAGAACGGAGAATTAGATGGAGATCTCAACCATAGAATACAAGCTGGATGGATGAAGTGTAAGAGTGCATCCGGCATGTTGTGTGACCGTCGTAGGCCACTGAAGCTCAAGGGAAAATTTTATAGGACGGCAATAAGGCCAGTGATGTTGTATGGCACAAAATGTTGGGCGGTGAAGCATCAACACGTAAACAAAATGGGTGTAGCGGAGATGAGGATGCTTCGTGGGATGTATGGGCACACGAGAAAGGATAAGATTGGGAATGAGGATATCCGAGGTAAAGTAGGAGTAGCCAAAATTGAAGGAAATATGAGAGAAAATCGGTTCCGGTGGTTTGGACATGTGCAAAGAAGGCCTACTGACGCTCCGGTTTGAAAATGTGACTACGGGACAAAGGTTCAGGGCCAAAGGGGTAGAGGAAGACCTAGGAAAACTTTGGAAGAGACCCTAAGAAAAGACTTGAGTACTTGGATCTAACGGAAGACATGACACAAAACCGAGCGCAATGGCGTTCTAGGATTCATATAGCCGACCCCACTTAGTGGGAAAAGGCTTTGTTGTTGTTGTTGTTGTTGTTGGGTTTGTGGGTTTTAGAGATTTTTCGGTGAATGCCTTGATTTTTATATGATTTTTGATAGTGGGTTTTGATGCAGATGTGATCAATTTGAAGAGGAGGAGGAAGAGGGCGATTCCGTGCACGAGTCCAATCCCCAGCCCAATTCTGTATGATCCTCTAATTTCAAGTTTCCTTTCTCTTCTGATTCCAAAAGCATGTTTGGGAACGATTAGGGTTTCAATTTTTGCTTTAATCTTAGCCGAAGGAACATACAGGTTGTGGTGTTGTCATTGCGGTGGATGATTTGGATGAAAGTATGTATCTTGGAATTTTTTTGCTTGCAGTTATTTAGGCTTAGACTGAAGAAAGTTTAGTGGAATGAGATACTTATGAGTAGTCAATTTTAGTAGGATTGTTGTTTCAATCTGGATAATGAACGATGTCGTTTCCTATTCGGTCCGTCCTTTGATGTTGTAGCAGATTTGGAATTTTGTGAAATGTTCTTTATTAAGAATGAAGTGCCACAGATTGAAGACGGTCGTCGTACCCAGTGCACAAGGCTCCCGCTTTACGCAGGGTCTGGGTGCTTTACCGATATTTTTTGTTGTTTTCTCTGTGTTAACTCTGCTTTTACTCCTTTAAACGGTGGTTGTTGTCATTTTCTGTCTCTCTCATATCTGTCTTGCCATTGACTGGGGATGTGGGTGATCCTGCTACCCTGTCCTGTACGCCGCAGTACAAGGCTGTAACAAGAATATCTATTGCACTACTGCAAGACTTCTACAGGGTTGATCAAAGGGGTCTACCATCTTACTAAAGCATTTCAGGTGTGATCATTATTGCCATATCCTTGAAATACTCCTTTTTGACATTTAGTAATCTGTTTCGGTTTTGATGTCCTTAAGTTCATGGGTTGGTTCAATGTTGGATTTGAATTTTACCCTTCAAGAGTTGCTTATGTGAACCTTTTGACTGTTTGCATTGCAGGACTATAACAACAAAATGGCGCAATTACGAGCAGGAAAGAGTAGCAAGAGCAAACTTACAATTGTAAAGTTCAAGACTCCGGAGTCAGTGGATGGATGGGAAGTTCATCAGGGGACTTACTTCAGGATGTGGTTGCTTCTAAGTATGATGGAGGAATGGATGCCAAGTTCGAATTCACTTTCACCGGAGATGCTGTTTTCTCCGGTAAGAGAGACTAAAGTAGGGTTTTGAGGTTCGAAATGGAAACCAACTATTATTCCTTCTACTCTAGTTCTTGCTGCATTGTAGGATATGTTTTCACCAGAGGAAGGTATTGAACTGTCAAAAAAGCTTTCACTTCCTTTGGGTCGGACCCTTGACTGGTATGCCATATTTGCATTCTCAAATGGATCTACTAACTAAAAGCAGCTTTCCAAAATGAAATTCATGGTATTTTTCTTATTATTAATTACAAGATTTGGGTAATAAAATTCATGGTATCCTTCTTATTATTAATTACTTGGAATTTGAACACAAAATGAATTCGTGTGATAGAAAATCATTGGCAACAGAAATTACCTGATGAATTTGCCGTGCATCTACGACATTCTAGCAACATTTCATGAATTTGAGAAGCAAGCTGTGCAAGTTCAGTTGCATTCTGTTTACTTAATTTTTTATGTTTTTTCTTTTGCTGTTTGGATTTAGGACGTAAAATATTTTTCTTTTGCAATATTTGTAGGTGGATGATGCTATCTGGGCTGTTGAAAGTGCCACATTGACAGCTGAGATGGGTGGAAAGAAGCTAATGCACTCATGGAACAACTTAAGCTCAAGCCTCAACTTCAGACATTCAAGTGTGGCTTTGCGATTCTGCTACTGTATATACACACTTTCCCGGGTTTGAGGATTATCATGGTGCTTAGGGTTTGAGTTAGGTGTTTGAATTAAATAACTTTGGGTTTAACCATTCTATTAAATCAGTAAGTTTGTTTTATGTATCTTATGGTTTTAGAATTGCCTGTGTACAAAGGATTATCATGGCAGCAAGATCATGTCGCTTTTGGGAAGCTCTTTTGACGGCCGCCGTTGTTGGAGGTCAGTCTCTTCCTCTGCTTCCACTCGACTCCATTCATTTTATTTTTTATTTTTCATCATAAAAAATGAAAAATCGCTCGGGTTTTTTATTTTCCAATACTATTACGTATACTTTTTTACTTTTGGAAATGAGTTCTGATTTTCCAGTTCAGTGGAATCACCGACGCCCCAAAATCACATCTCAAAGTCTTCGAATTTCAACCCGCACAAGCACTGCCAAACAGGTAGCAAATCGCTTTGACATCTCTCTCTCTCTCTCTCTCTCTAAACATGGGTTGTTTTGTTGTTTTGGATCTAATTTTGTTATATTTTTTTTTCTGGGTTCTTTTAAAAGTATGGATTTAGCGTCTGTGGAGTAATATTTATGTCAATATTTCTATCAGATTAAGTAGACCTTCTTCTATATATCATTGTGCAGGAGTGGATGAGCTTAACGATGGTAAGTTGTCGAAGGACGATATGAGAATCAACTATGTACCATGCCGATCATCTTTCATTTGTTCATAGTGCTGTAAAGTAGGATGTGACTGTTTGTTTTGGGTTTGTTTTGGGGTTTTTTGTGATTTTCTGTGTTGTTTTTGGTGTAACAGATCTGAAAAATGTGTAGGGGCATGTATGACAGAATGTGAAAATTGGGGTTCGTCGGTTTGGGTGTTGTTGCCAACGATCCCGCTTCCGACAAGTCTCTTATCCAATCCGTCTGTCCCTCACTCTCTCCGCATCTCATCATTTTCCTAACTTTCTGTTTGTTTCCCGATAAAATGATTGAAAAGCAAAGAAAAGAAAAATGAGCTTAAATTTCTTTTCGTTTTTCTGATTTAAAGAGGAAAATTTGGTTCTATTTTGCTTGATTAAATGCCGGTTTCGCTCCTGCTCTTCTGTTGCAATGCAATTTCCTCCTGGGGAAAAATGAGGTTTGTATTATATGCATATTAATGCTTTAGCTTAGAGTTTGCGGGTTCCAGGGGACAAGATATTGTGTCTGGCAAAATTCTTCCTTGGAGTTGGCATTCCTGGCTATGCTAAAGACTTACTCAACCACATCGTTTTCAACAATAGATGCTAATAGTTTTCTTTAACACTAGGGCCTTTTAACTGAAGGGCCCACTTGACAACCATATCGTTTTTTTGTTTTTGCAGAGTTTGTAATAATTTTTCTTTGACTGATCTGTTGATAAGTTTGTTTTTGTAGATGCCAGAGAACTACATGGAAGATCTCTGTGTGAATATCAAGGTCTGTACTTTTCCCTTTTTAGTTCTTGGCAATACTAGCATCTTCAGACTTCAGCTTTTCAAAAATAAACCTATAACATATTATAAGTATGAACTGGTGTGGGTTAATAATGAACTTAGATATGCGGGATAGAAGATGGAAAAGAAAACTTAAGAAACCAATAGATTCTGATTACAAATAAGTAAATTTTTTGAAGAAAACTTAAGAAAGCAATAGATTTTGATTGCAGATTAAAAAAATTTAAGAGACCGGTTCAATTGGGTAGCTGAAAAAAAAGGAAAGAGAAGAAAAATATTAGTAAACATTCGGTACGTTTTAAGAATTTGTTTTGAGTTATGGAGACCATTTGATTGCTAAGGAAATCGAGGAAAAGAAAACAAAGAAACTAAGAGTTGTCTGAGTTGTTTATAGAGAGAGGACTTAGAAAAGACAACAAATATTTTAATTTTTGTAATGGTTGTCATGAATTTCCTTAGGACTAAACAAAACATAATCAGTTTATTTGCTTTACTGAGAATAGTGTTTATTGCGATTAATTTCGGGTATGGGGTGCAAATATTGGTGTCCTGAGCCGTATCTAGAGTAGATTTTGGAGTTCATTCGGTCGAATATTCGGTTACTCCAGTGCATTGACAATTAATAGACGTAATTCTTTTTACCATTGTTTGTGTATAATTATGCGACTTATATGCTAACAAAGGTTGTTTTGCTTCCAATACATCAACATATATTAAAAGGAAATATTTAAACAGTAGAAGCTAGGAGGCTAGCCCCTCGTGCCCATATTATGTTACTTGAAGAAAAAACATACAACCGCGCGGGGGGAGGGGGGGGGGGTGGGCATAGTACCTAAAGCCCAAAGATCAAAATCAAAATGATGTAGATGTACAACCACTCTAAGTAGTCAACATGGCCATCACATATTGAATCTAAAAGGCTGACACCCCATTCACTGCATATAAGACTATAAGGTCGTATCCAGTGCACAAGGCTCCCGCTTTACGCATGGTCTGGGAGAGGTGAATGTCGGCTAGCCTGACCCCCCCATTTATGAGGAGGCTGCTCCCAAGTCTCGAATATACTGAAAAAAAAAAATTGAATATTTCATAGTTTATATTGAATTAGGCAAGTGTAAATTGAAACAAGTTAGAAAATGAACCTTAATCAATGGCAATGTTTGGGATGTGAGCAATCTTTGGCCAGTCCTCACCTGTTTCTTTCTTGCACCTTTCGCTTAACATGGGGCAACCAGAAATGTACAATGCATTTAAACAGGGGAGTCCACGAGTCCCTTCTGTGAAGTTAGATTAGGACAATCCCAGATCCTCAATGTAGAAAGACAGGGAAAAGAAGGCAACGACAGATTTTTCATTGAAGAAGAAGAAGAAGCAGTGTAGAGTGTCCGCCTTCCACCATCCCTTCAGAACAGGGCACTTATATATGTAGAGGGACTTCAGGGAGGGAAAGAATGAGATCCTCATCATCTCATCACTCATACTGTTACTGCTCTCATTCCTGATATGTACTCCAACTTCCACAAATGTGAAAGATGAAGAGACTTAAGGGAGGGCAAATGATCCAAGGGTGGAAGATGTTGGCATCTCTCACATGTATACAATTAGAGATTAACAATATTTATGAGAGAAGAAAACCAACTCGCAAACCTTACACCACCATAACTTGCCATGATCAACTGCTTTAGATTTGAATGGGGTTGCAATACTTACATTGACATTATAATATCCTCCTCATCAACTGCCTTTACATCTGCTTTTTTATGCTTATTTTTTATTTAGTATTTTAGGATGTCAATTTTATTTAAATGAACTAACAATGTATTTTTCCTAATAGATTACATATTTCTATATTTATGTATAATTTATACTCTTAATAAATATTTATTAGATAATATGAGAATATTAAGGGGGTAGTGTAGCATACCGGGTAGCAAGCGTACAAAATGCTGAAGAAGAAAATTCGACGCCTTTATTGAGTCATAAAGTTGTGCCCTTTTGTTCTGTGTTGTAATACTGTGTTTAGTTATTTGGGAACTGTACCATTGTTGAATAAGTCCTTCACTTTTGTTTCAGATGCTGACAGTTCCAAGCTAGGCAAAACACCCATTGTATCGGGGAAGTATCCGAATAAAGTGAGCAATGGGATTGCTGGGCCAAGCCAGGAACCTGCATGGCTGAAATCAATATACACAGAGAAGGTCCCTCGGTTGGAGACTGCAGCTAACATTCATCCTAGCTTTAACTACGACCAGCATGAGAAACGCATTATGGACACAGAGTTGCACACAAGTGCCCAAAAAGAACCTCGTTTCGATGAGTTGGAGAGCATTGTGAGGATCAAGCAGGCCGAGGCAAAAATGTTCCGAACACGAGCAGATGACGTAAGAAGAGAAGCTGAGGGGCTGAAACGCAGAGCAATGGCAAAGAATGAAAAAATTGAAGAAGAATTTAGGAGCAGGATAGCAAAGTTGCGCTTAGTGGAGGCAGAAGAAATGCACAGCAAGAAACTTGAAGAACTACAAGCTTTAGACCGAGCGCATCGTGAATACTCCAATTTGAAGATGAGAATGGAAGCGGATATAAAGGATCTTTTGTTAAAAATGGAAGCGACGAAGCGGAACCTTTCTTTGTGATTGGCAAACGAAGAGGAGGCCCTGTAAGAGTTTTCGATGTGGCAAGTAACCGTAACCTCATGTGCTGATAGTTTTATGTTGTACCTTGCAATGTAGTGGTTTTATAGCTCCAATTAGAGTATTTTTCATGGTAGTTTCTATTGTATTTGTTTATTAAACCACTAACCAGAATCTGTACAGAGAGACTGCCTTATTTCTTTTATTAAGTTATAAAGCAGTGCACCTATTTATGGTTTTTGGAACCAATTCCCTCATTCTGTGCTCCTTCATGTTCGTTGTCGTTGATTCTTTTTTTATCAATTCAATTAAATATCTCAAAAGGGCAGGAATCACTTTCAACGTGTAACTACAAACGTCATGTCGTATAAAAATTCAGTTGGTTGTGCTGCTTTGTGTTTTCAATCTCCTGTCTGACTTCTCATGTTACTTTTGAGTCTTTACTTTTGAGTCTTTGACGTCGTATCATTTCTTTAATCTAAAGAAAGGGATGGAATTGCATACCCAGCGACAGTGTTTTGGGTTTGATTTCTGCGTTTGTGCCTGGTGCCCACGCGTCGATCATCGTGGGATGCTCCGCTTCGACTATGCATCGCCTTCTGCATCTTCACCGCTTCTTCCCCTCTCCCTCCTTGCCTCATCTGCTAAACGACAACCTTCTCGACGACACCCTCTCTCTCCTACCCGCCTGAAAATATATAGTACGAGATACAATCGTAGACAACTAGACAAACTGATGTCATAGTATCAATCATATGTCTAGATAAAGTAAAAGT